GGAAATCACTTACCATGAAGTGAGTATGCTTCAGCAGCCTGCCAAAAATCAGACCAGCTCTGCGACACACTGCATTGGTTGTACCCTACACTGATCTGACTGCTTTAAAGGGGGTGGACTGCTTCACAATAGGCACATAAAATTGTGGCAATCTCTTTCTGACTGCTGATCTTTCTTCTCTCTCTAACCTTCTTTCCTACACTTTTTAATCCCTCTCAGCTGGCTTAAAAGAAATTGATACAGACTTAGGTAAAGTTAATAAAGTTGTTTTTTGATTGTTGTCGTTTTTCATTTATGAATAATTAAAAAGTTAAATTTGCTCAAACTTTAACACAGATCAATCAGTTAATAATCATTACATACAATTTTGCATTTATATCTACTGTTTGAACATTAAACTTGAACTGGGTACCCTAACCCTTCAAATCCACAAGTTACTGGTGCCTTCAAGGGTTATAACAGAATAGGCCTAATGACTGTCCATTAATTGACCTGCACCCCTGTTGTTGGTTCACAGAGGTGTCAAGTAACAAAGTAAAAATAGTTATTACTTAAGTTGAAATTTGGCTTTCTCTACTTTACTGGTAATTATTTTTAGAATACATTTTTTTGGTTTGTTAATTTTGATATGGTGTGCAGGAGTTCAAACAGACATTCATTGTGTTTTCCAATGCTGTAAACGTTTGTATAATAAATACATTTAAACAATATATGTAAACATGTATTTTAGCGAAAATGTGCATCATAGCTATAGAGATCAGTGGTCAAAGCCTGCAACACATGTCTCAGTGCGGCATGGTGCCAGGCAAAGAAAGCGCCGGGTGTGTCTTGGGCCCAACGGGAAAAAACGGAAGATACCTGATGAGAAGAGGGGATTTAAAGAAGAGTGGACCGAATCTGTTGCTTTCATTATCAATGCCAGCATTTGTGCTTTGCAGGAGAATTTGTCAAACAATAAAAATAGTAATTTGGAAAGGCATTTTCAGGGAAGGCTAAATATGCAGCCGATCACAAAGTTGTGAGTGAGAGAAAGAATGCGATTGCAGAATTTCTGGATGAATTAGAGGAGAGCAAAGAAAGATTTAAGAAATGGATTGCATCTCCAAACTCCACTACTGCTGCTAGTTTTGTTTCAATCATGAAAGAACCCGTCCACAGATCACCTAACAGGTGTTAGGTTTCGGTTTCTGTTATGTTTTTCTTTTGATAGTTTTGCTTTACTCCTTGTTTTCTAGTGTCAGTGGTTTTATTTTTATTTTGCTGTGTTCTCTGGTCAATTCCTAGTTACTGTTTTAGTCTTGGTTCTGCTTTGTTTTCTTTTGAGTATCCAGTTTTGCTTTACTCCTTGTTCTCTAATTTAAAAGGTTTAATTCTTATTTTGTTGTGTTTTTCTGGTTATTTTCAGTTTTCTTGGTTTCTATTTGTTGCCCTCTACTGCCCTCTTATGTTCTCCCTTTTCTCTAGCTCTTTTCCTCTCTTGCTCTGTGCACACCTGCTCCCAGTCTGCTCATTAGCCCTCTCTTTGTTTCTGTCTCCTATAAATACTCTTGCTGTTCAGTTTCTCTTTGCTGGGTCCTCTTCTAACCTCATCAGTCTTCGTCCTACTCGTCTCTCTGAGCCTTCCTCCAGGTTACAGTTCTTCCCCTAATGACTCCTAGGTTTTTGGTAACGTTTGACTTGAGTTTTCATTTTTTTTTTTTCTTAGATCTTTGAATTTTTGGACTCCTGGTTTCTCGTTTGTTTTTGTACATTGTTTTCATTTGGATTTCTTGATTCCTGTTGCCTGTGGTTTTTGACTCAGTACTCAGTATCAGTACTCTTCATTAAATCTATTAAAAATTCCCCTCTGCTTGCCTGCCTCTGCTTTTGGTGGGCCCGCTATTCACAAAAAAACCCTGACAAGAGGTAGCGCTCTGATACAGGTATGTGACCCCCCCCCACAAAAAAAAACAAAAAAACAAGGAACGCTGGTGACTTAACCGTGCGGTGAAGCAACACACGTTGAATTGCACACGTTCACTGCTTGTCCCTCACTTCATGCTGCTATGTGACATTTGCTCCAGGATTAACATTTAATCATGAATGCTTATTATATATCTAAGCCCACGTAGTCCTTTTTTTTTATAGTGGTCTAATACACTTAGAGCCTGTGTTGCCACACAAGATTTAAATAAGAGTTTTATATTTTTATATATTATATAGACAGATTTTTTTGTTTGTTTTTTTGGTCCAATATGGGTCTTTGAGCAGTTGGGGTTGCTGACCCCTGGACTAGGTGCTGCACCATCTTGTTGTAAAATGTAAATGCTGAAAATTGTAAAAAATTTCTTGGATGGTAAGCAAAACATCTTCAAACTTGAAAACTAAGTCCAGTGGGTTATTTTGTTTAATTCAATTCAGTTTATTTATATAGCGCCCATTTACAACACGTCATCTCAAGGCACTTCACAGTTCACCAAATCATACACTCAAATTACTTCTTCTTTTTTTTTTACTTTTTTGGAATACATACTGACAGCTGTGTGTGTGACCTGGTGTAACAAGTATTTAGAATAGAAAATAACAGAAATACACCCAATCTCATTTACTGTCTCATTCATTTAGCTAATGCTCAGCTTCGAATCTAATTAATTGTATAACTATTTGTACATTTTACATGTTTGTTTTCCTTTTTAAGAAAAGTCCTAACACTTTTGACTGAATAAGGTTTAGTTAAAAAACAATAAAAAGCATAACGTCAATAACGTCAAATAACAGTGTCCAAACTATATTTGTAATGTCAAGGTCAGTCATGGGTTGTAAAACCTTTCCACAGAGCATAGACTGATGGCTCTGAGTCCTGGAAAGAGGAGGAGGAGGGACAGGCACTGAGCTCGGCTTCCTCCACCACTGCCTCATCTTGATTTTCCACAATTTCTGGTTTTGCTTTCTCTGGGCCATACATCCCCACAGTGCATCTCTGCTGTTGTGACACCAGGCAATCCCGAACACCCCTTCCCATTTCGTATAAAATCAGCTCTTTTGAATCCTCATCCTCATATTTCTTTTCGTCAGTTACAGCCTGTGGCCTCTTCACGGCAGCTATATGTCCCTTTCAGACATCCTCAAGCACAGACAAACTAATTTACTCACTTACCTCTCTCGAAATGAGATCCAAGTGCTACCCAAATCTTTTGGGTAGCTCTGTGGATAACCTGAACTCTTCCTCTGATTGTTACATCTGCAGATCGGACTTTTTCAAAATTCTGTTTAATAAAAAACTACCCGAGATACTCCATGGCAGAAGAATGGAGGAGTGGGCTGTCAACTTGGGTTTCAGATGTCCTACAGTGATGTCACTGATGACTTGCCGAACAGAAATGCAGGGAAGCACAGGTTTAAAGAAGTAAAAGGGCGTATTGAGGATGAACAGTGTGACATATAAAGACAGCAGAGATGGCAAAAGTACTCACTTTCCGTACTTAAGTAAAAGTACAGATACTTGTGTTAAAAAATACTCTGGTAAAAGTGGAAGTACTGATTAAACGTCTTTACTCAAGTAATAGTAACAAAGTACTGGGTTGTAAATTTACTTAAAGTATAAAAGTAAAAGTAGAAACCACTTTTTTCATGCCGTTGCCTACATTTTAAATGGATGTCTGCCAATAGGACTAAATCTCTGTTGTGTTCATTTTCAATCATCTTGTCGTCCATGCTACTATGCTAACGCCACCGCCACCAAGCTGCAATGATTTGCCGCGAATGAATACTGCCGAATCTGTCGATTCATCTTGTAGTGGTGCGTCAAATGCAACGTAGATTCCCATCCAATTAGATTGAGTTACGTATTGATGACGTGAAAAATAATAACGGTAACTCCATTGAAATTATTCAAAACTAAATTAACGAGACAATTTTTTAAAATGTAAGGAGTAGAAAGTACAGATATTTGTGTAAAAATGTAAGGAGTAGAAGTAAAAAGTTGCCATAAAAATAAGTAGTAAATTAAAAATATCAGAAAAATCTACTTGAGTACAGTAACAAAGTATTTGTACTTCGTTACTTCCCATCTCTGAAAGACAGGCGTAGGTTAAGGTAGTTTGTGTATTCAGAGTTATTGTATATAGGTACATACATTAAAACAGTTTAAATGTGTAGTTATCCACTTTAAATCTGATTTTATTTTTAACCTGTATTTATATCTGTTCCTGTAAAATGTAATCTATTTTTTATTTATTAAAGATATTTTTACTTTTTTTTTTTTTTACATTGTACAGTAGTTGCTGTTGGAACTAAAAAGAATAAACCACATGATTCTTTTACTTTATATACATAAATGTACCCAATAAATTGGGTGCAAAGAAGAATGGGAATTGCTGAATTTTTTTTCCGTCTTTGAGACGCAATTTGTGATTTTGTTTGTGAAAGGTACAGTACTATGTGAGTAAAGATTGTCGATATTATTGCAAAAAGGGGAACAATAAAGTATTCATCAATTGCTGTGCATAGCTACAGGAATGTGATTTTTATTGTATTGTGTTCTTAAAAAATGCTTTTCCACATTCTTTATAAAGAGTCTTGTGTATAGAATATTTAGAAAAGAGATTAATTTACTGCTATTTGAAATAAGGTTGTAACATACCTGAAAATGGGTTAAGTGTCACATGATGAATATTATCAGGTTGCCCTGAAAAGATCACTGACAACCTTCCTTCAGTAGGATAAAAGTAGTGCATTAAAGGTTTAGGATCCAGCAATCTCTGTCGATTAAAATTAATTACAATTTAAAAGTTGATTACTACTTCTTTGATCACTCACATACATGACTGTATTCATTTAATATGATCTTTTTCCTGAATCCATCTGGAGATACAGGAAATAGTCAGCTAAAAATATCTTCTAAAGAAGGTCACTGAGAAATTGCACTTCTTTTGATGCTTGGTACTGTACTCCCACCACCGTGTGAAACAACTAGAATAATTTGTACATAGTGGAAAGAACAACACAGGAAACTCTGAAGGTGAAGTTGAGGGATTTATTAGAGAAGGGTGAATATAAAGTTACTGTATGCAGGGATTCTATTCTCAGAGGAGACCACAACTAACAATCCTCTCTGTCTAAATGATACACTACACAACCTCCAAACAAGCTCGTCATAGTTAGAGATTAAATCTATAAATAAAAGGAATTCAAAGCGGGAATACAGTAGAACATAAATGTGCTTTGGTAGAAAAAAGAAAACACCATGTGGATTATTGTCATAGTAACTTTATAAGGAAGAAGACTACTTGGATCCTTATACTTCCCTAGATATCCCTAGCACTACGTTAACATTCAAATTGGAAATCGGAATTGGAAATAAAAAAATTAATCAAAAGGGGTTTTACCAACACTTTTACTTCAGTACAGAATGACTCCTCTACTCATTCTCTGGATCCATTCAGTTTTAGTTTTCAAAAGCAGCCAGCCTGTAGCACATTAATGATATAGCTAAAATATTGACTGACACTTTTTTATTTGCCACTTTTCCTCTTTTGATAAATATCAAGTCCCATTTTTTTCTCAAGAAGTTTTGGCTCTCACATTTAGCTACATCAAGATCAATAAATACTATCGGCTGTGTTGGTGTTCTGTGAGCCATGAAGACCACAGTGTTAGCTTAGCCACAGCAAAGGCAGTTTAATATATACTGCAGTCCTCCCGCGGCATCATCAAGCGCGCACAGACACAGCAAACAGAAGTAGATTAACACAACGTAAAAAGGGACTTTTTTCACCAACTTATTCCATCATCTTTTTTTTTTCTCTCTTTTATTATTTCTTAGAAGGAGTCCATAGCCTTAAATTCACTGAGGGCCTGGACAGGGGAGATGTGTTTCTTCTGGGAACCTCGTCGCACACGTGTCTGGCATTCCTCTGGCTTCTCCCGTTTAACCAAGGGCTTCTTCTCTGGAGCTTTCATACGCCAAGAAACCACTGGTGAGTTGACTGCAGCTGTGCCATAAACCTTCTGGTATTTGGTGGAAGCTACATAGGATGCCTTCACAGTAAGCACCACAGCATTCATGAGGTTCTTGGCGGCCTGGATCAGAGAGGTGGCACTATCCAACTGCAGGAAGGGTGAAGAGAAAAAAATAAAAAATTGTCAACTTGTGTGAAATAAGGGAAAATATAACAATCACTTTCTTGGCTTAAGCATCAACCTTAGAATTCAGGAACCATGTAAGGCCACTTTGGGGTGCATGCTGCTTCTTGCAATTCAGCAGGATAAAAATACGACTCTCTCTATAAGACAACTTATTTTAGAATTTCTTAATGAGCAGGCGCAGAGGTTTACCTCTGTCGCCTTCTGTTTTGTTTGGCTGACATTTAAGGGTCGGCGGCCAGAGGGCCTCCTCCTACATCACACTGAGATGAGTCAACTGTTTCAATTTAATGAGTGTGGATTCCAGCTGGCCACCAGGAAAAGGTTGAAATCTCAGCAGGACCTGCATATCTAATGTGAGGAAAAGCTATAATCAAGGAGAGAAATTATAGAAAATCAACTACACATGTAGGGGAATTTTTTCAAATAAAAGTCAGCTTGAACTTTGATAAGCAAACCTCATAAATTAAATGTAAAGAAAAAACTGTCATCATTATTGTTTTAATCACTTAACTGTGGGGTTGTAGCAGTGTTAGATAATTACAATGTAATTTATTAGAAATTTGATATTTTCAGTAATGGAGTAGTGTATAACTATTGTCTTTCCTTATTTTTGTTACACCCTAGCATAATTTACCATACAACATAGTATGTTACTACAATTATAGTGAATTATCGTAAGAGTATCCTCTTTGCTAAGGAAGATAACTGCTTTCTACTGTACTAGAGCAGGTGTGATGAGAAAGATGCATACCTGATGCTAATTGGCTGAAAAGGGGAAGATAGGCAATTTATTTTGCACACAGACCTAGACCAGCCTCGCAATTTAAAACATAGCATATTTAGACTGAAAGTACAGACACTATTTTACATCTGTGAGCCGTAAGTCATAGTGAGTAAGTAGAGAGATTTACATTTTTTTCATTCACTTCAATTGTTCAAACTAATCTCTCCAAACTCTAAAACTTTAAATAAAGTGCAGGACATGTTTCAAATTATCCTTCCTCATAAGTTTTGATTAAAAAAAGCAAAACCAGTAAGTAAGTAAACAATTTAAAACTTTTTTTGTAATAGGGAGTTATGGGTTTAAATAGGACAGTATGCAGTTTTAGTTTTTTGTATATATTTTTATTATATATTTCAGATATAGTTATTTGTTACAACCTTATCACAATCCTCTAACTCAGAAAAGAAGGGGAATTTAATACCTTTTAAAATACTGATAACATTGATCTGTTTTTTTGTTATTTTATGCATTTCAGTAAGTAAACAAGCCTGCTTAATTTACAAGCTCGTTGGAAAAAATAGTCAAAGGGATCAATAATTGATCAGCATCAGGAAGACATAAAATACTTACACTGCTATTTACTACATTGATTTGAAATCTTTAAAAACAAATATTAGTTCCTCATTGAAATAAGATCTATATTTAGTATTGAAAAAGCATGTATTACAAAAACCGAAAGCTCCTACACATGAAATAAATGCATTTTGTTGCATCTGCTTCTTTCCACCCCTGAAATAGTAAGGACTGCTTTTTAGACCAACTCTATAAAACTAATCTGGCAGTTTTTATTAATAGCATTCAGTTGATCTTAAGCTGAAAGCAAAATAAAAATAAAATAAACACTCAAAGCTAACGTCGTCTGACCACATTAGGGACCCAGGTTCCATAGAAACCATTATCTTTATTTGACTAAGTGTTACAGATGTTTCAAAACTGATAGTTAAAATGTAGTTGGTACAAAACTACCATAGGGTAATTTTCACATGAGAGGCACTTTTTTTTCTCCATAGATTTCATATTTAAAGATTTCAAAGCAGGGAATCTCTAAACTTGATCACCTGGACCCACTGTCCTCCACGATTTAAATGGGCCTCTGCTCCAGCACACCTGCATCAAATAAGTTCACCCCTCTTCAGTATCCACCACGGGCTGCAGGGGCCGTCTAATCACCCATTTATTTAGGGCAAAAAAATACAGGACAACAGGTCTTGAGGACCAAGTTTAAAAATCACTGCCTTAATCGGCTGGAAAGAAAATAAACTGTCATATATTGCCAAACCCAAGATTACCTCTGTTTAATTGTTGTGATTACCCTAGTGTTAATGCAACCCCAAAACTCAAAAACAACCTTTTTAGGCTGCAGGCTTAATGCTCAATTAAGATATATATATATATATATATATATATATATATATATATATATATATATATATATATATATATATATATATATATATATATATATATATACAGTGTGGGGTTAAGGGTCTTGCTTGGAGACCAAGAGTGCGGGCTGTGGGGTTCGAACCGGGTTCTTGCAACCTTCTCAGAGGAAAAGCGCAGTGCTCTACCTACTAGGCCACCACTCCACAACATATATGCATCTTGTACGGGATTCCTTAACTGCCCCGCATACAATGTAGAGGACCCAATGACTTCACAAGTAGCACTGTGTTTATGGAAATAAACATGTATGGTAGTGCTGGAGCACATCTTGTAATTTTTCATTCATTTTCCAAGCAGAATAGGGACCTTTGTTGAGTATTAATGTACTTCAGGTCAGATGAATGTGACCGGGCCATTCAGACATAGGCTGTATTTGAAACAATAAGAAACGTATCAGATTTAGGACCAGATACCCAATTGTCCTGGGTCACATTGTTGTTCTGACTGTCTTGAAAAGATCAGATACAGGTTGCATATGGGCCAAAAAATACAATTTGGGTCACTTCAGGCTGCAGTGTGAAAGTAGCCTTACTGATATTGGTTTAGTTGTTCATCAGAGAGGTAGTGCATAACCATGACCAAATTAATCAAATGATACTTTTACTTGAATCAACTTAGATAATTTTACAAGGGACTTATCTAAACATTATTACTTTAACATTGAATAAACCACTAGTAAGAAATATATAAAATGCTGGAAACTTTGTAGATAAGACTTTTTATTGCAAAAATAGAAAAAGAGTGAGGTGTATTTCACAGTGTAATGTTTGCTTTGCGTTATTCTGCATTACCCTTTAAATTATTAGCTTTGTCCAGTCGAAACCTCAAACAAAGAGGCTTAAATAGTACATTATAGTGCATAAAAAGGAACCTTAATCTTGATCAGATATAAGGGTTAAGTAATAAACACCTGACTTGAAACCTGCAAATCAATAAGATATATATATTTTTTTAATTATATACTTACCCCAGAAACAATAAGCTCTCCACCCAGATTCTGCACCTCTGCCTTCACTTTGCTACAGATGTTAAGCTGATGACAGTACAGGGCAATTCTCTGCAAATAGGCCAGCAGATCTTGCTTGCAGGCTGAGTCAGGACACTGAAATGTAGAAAGGAAATAATAGTTTAAAAGCATGAATGTAAAATAAAGAAGGCTTGAGGTTTAATTTGCCCCACAGAAGAATTTAAATAATTCAATTTAAAACAAATCTGTATTTTATCTGAGGTCTAATCAACGTACTGTTTTTACGGCATCTTTTCTACAGCACGTTACAAATTTATCAATACCCCTAAGTTTGTACATTCTCCCACAGTTCAACAAAAAGTCTGATCTTTAAAGGGAAATAGAAAATTATAGAAGTTTTGCGAACATTATTAAAAAGCTGGGGGACACATCAGTCCCTCTGTTTCAAGGCATCTTTACTCCTTAACAAAATAGCCTAAGTTCAGCACACGATTTATGTTCGGCCCGACGCTCTAATGCGATCTACCTGCTCACACTGTATGACTTAAAACCATGTCAGACTCAGCTCCGCAGTGAGATGGAGATCTCTCTATCCTGAAGCTGAACAAATAGAAGGGGGATATTAGGCTCACTATAGTGAACTGCACTAGCTTGGCAATTTGTGCAATTTTGTGCTGAAAGCCCTGAAAAGAAAACAACGTATTTTGACAAAGACATGGCTGAGCAAACCTGGCTACAACGGTCTGTGAATTTTACAGACAGAACTACATATCACTTATGCATCCCCCCCACGCTGCTGTGTTTACATCTGAGAGGACGAATAAAAAAGAAGAATCCTTGTTTGCGCATGCGCCCTGAGCGATTTGCCTACGAAAATCAAACATGTTTGATTTTGTCCCGACCTCACGATTACTGATCGGGAGTTGGTCGTAAGAGGCTGATCGCCCCTAGTTACCCCCTGTACACTACGCACAGTGTACGCCGGGCTTAACTTTGAACAAGGGTGAGAAGTAATGTTTATGTTCCTCTGCTGTCAAGCTCCCTTCTCCCAAGAACCTAGCAAGTTCCATTGGTCCCCCATAATGCTTGGGGATAAAGACATGACCTCACAGACTCTCAATCTCCTTTGCCATGGCTCCTCAGCCAGCCACAGAAGAAAGACCCCATGAATGGTATGGAAGGCCACGCAAGCCAAGAACTATAATCTGTAGACCGTTCGAAAATTAAGTAGACTGGTTGGTAACTTGGGACCAGATTCTGCAAAAGAGACTTTCTGCAACATTTCTCACTGAGTTTACAGGAAACTTCGAGATACAAAAGACTGGAACCATAGAGCAAACGAGGAATAAAGGCCTTGCAGCTAAGCTGTGAAAACACAGACGAATCCATCCAATACAACCTCTGCTAAGCTTTCTGAGCTTGCTTTGACTTTTCAAAACGGAGATCAACATAGCTTAGAGTTCAGGCAAAGTTAGGAAAAGTGTCTCAAGCTAATCAATTTGTGTTTTTGATAATTTTTTATCTTTTCATGTGTTTACTTTAGTCTAAAGCAAGTTAAGAAGAAGCTAATGGTGAACACATAAGACATCTTTGTTAACCTGGAAAAAACCTCTCAACTTACAGTTGTGTTCGAAATAATAGCAGTGCTTTTAGAAAAATGAGTAAATGTCAAAATTCTTCAAAGAAATTGTACTTTAATGAACACAGATACATTGGGGACACAGTACATTCTATTCCAAAGCAAAACAATTGCGCAAAGTCATAAAAACTTAAATAATAATAATAATATTTCAAATAAAGTAAGAAATGGCATGTTCAAAAGAATAGCAGTGTTGCCATCTTTCCTTGGAAACTCAAAAATGTACTGTACAAACAAAGAAATTCTTGATAAGTGAACCTAGCTGAGTATCCTAAACTAATATTTTGTTGCAAAACCACGGTTTCTGATGACTGCTTCACATCTGTGGTGCATGGAGTCAACCAACTTCTGGCATCGTTCCACAGGTATTGCAGCCCAGGATAATTGCACTGTATTCCACAATTCCTCAGCGTTTCTTGGTTTTGCCTCATGCACTGCACTTTTTATGTCAGCCCACAAGTTTTCAATGGGATTAAGGTCCGGGGATTGTGCTGGCCACTCCATCAGTTGAATCTTGTTCATCTGGAACCATGCTTTTGCTCGCTTGCTGGTGTGTTTGGGGTCATTATCCTGTTGAAAGGTCCACCTCAAAGGCATTTCCTCCTCAGCATATGGCAGCATGACCTCTTCCAGGATCCTGATGTACTGGAACTGATCCATGATCCCTTGTATGCGGTGAATCGGACCAACACCATAGTATGAAAAACATCCCCATATCATGATGCTTGCACCACCATGCTTAATGGTCTTCAGTGAGTACTGTGGCTTGAATTCTGTGTTTGCAGGGCGTCTGACATACTGCCCGTGACCCTTAGACCCAAAAAGAACAATCTTGCTTTCATCTGTCCACAAGATATTATGCCATTTCTTTTCAGGCCAGTCAATGTGCTCTTTGGCAAATTGTAAACGCTTCTGCACATGTCTTTTTCTCAGCAGTGGGACTTTGCGGGGGCTTCTTGCTGGAAGGTTAACCTCAGTAAGACGTCTTCTGATTGTCACAGTACTCACTGTCAACTGAAGGTCTTGCTTGATCCTCTTGGATCCCATCATTGGCTGAGTCTTCGCCAGTTTGGCTATTCTTGTGTCCATTCGAGGGGTTGTCTTTCTTTTTCTTCCTCGTTTTTCAGTTTTTTGCTCCCATTTCAGGGCATTTGAGATCATTTTAGCTGAACAGCCAATGATTTTCTGCACCTCTTTGTATGTTTTCCCTTCTTTAATCAATTTTTTTATTAGGAAACGCTCATCTTCAGAACAGTGTCTTGAACGACCCATTTTCCTTGTTTTTTCAGGACAAATGCACAGCCAGCATGCCAGTTGTCTTGATCCTTAAATACGGATCACCTGTTAACACCCTTTTTTCCCAGAATACCCTCCCTAATTGATGCCCTCTCTAATTGAACTCACCACTGCTATTTTTTTGAACACACCCTTTTCAGTTAATCATTCAATTTCACAGAATCCACAGTATGCATGGCTGTCCTGTTGGGTTTGTTGGTTTTCTATACCTTTATTTTACCCCCCAGAAACTTATCTGGGGTATAGAGTTTGAAATGTTAATAAAACAAGTGATTTTCTTGCTGCTGTTGAGGCACTGCTATTATTTCGAACACAACTGTAGGAGGTGGTCTTAGCCATAACCTTTTACCCACCAGCAAGGCACTTTTAGAAACATTACCCAGAAGATTCTACTCCCAACAGCCCCCACCTGACTCACAATTCAATGAGGCATATGACCAAAACCACTCTAACAAAGGAAATAACGACCCATCAGAACCCCCTGTTGTGACCTCCATGGCCAATACAGAAGTAGAAATCAAAGCCACCTTTTGTTCCCCCTAAATCTTTCTTAGATCGACAGTATATCAATCTCAGCGCTCCCCACTACTATTTAGAACTGAAGAAGCCTCTTGGATGAGAGTTGAAATGTCTTCAAGAAACTTCACGTCCAGTTGCATAGACAGAACTTTTTCAAGCTTGACCATAGTCTGGATGACTGAGAATCTTCACAGTTAACCAATGGTATCATATCTTGAGCCGTTGTTTATGAAGCTAAAAAAAACAACTTTATTTCACTAAGGGTTTAAACACACGTTAAAATTGAGCTCTTTCTTGATATGCTCATTATAAACAATTTCTAATATATATATAAATATATATAAATATATATATATATATATATATATATATATATATATATATACCCCGCCTCTCGCCCATTGACTGCTGGAGATAGGCACCAGCACCACTCGCGACCCCAATTGGGACAAGCGTGTAAGATAATGGATGGATGGATATATATATATATATATATATATATATATATGACGAACAAGTCCTTTTTAAACGGGTCCCCCACTATCTTCATAACTGAAACGTAGCTATAAAAGCTAGGTGGTCTTAACCCTAACTATTCCTTCAGGGACTATCGCAGAAGGTTAAGAATGAATTACTTTAAAGGTTATTGATTTCAAATTAAGCAAAAAAATAGATATCATTTTACAAAATGTTTGTATAAAAATTTAAAAGCTAATTTAACTCAATTCCAAACTCTTCAAGAGAATCTTTGTTTTTAACTAAAATCAATGAGTTTAGTTAATGCATTAAATTTTGAATGGAAGTTTTTGTGAATTTATTCCATATGAGTGGGGAATTAAAATTTTTTACCATGATTTGAACTTGATTCATTGTGTTATTTGTTCTCTTAACACGCAGTCAATTTGGTGTGTTTTTATAGAACAACCTATGACAGTTCAAAAGTTATTTGATTAAAGGATATATTTTCCACCTCCTCTGGGGTGGGCACAGACCGAATATAACATTGTTTTATATCATATGTCTGATTTAAACTTTTCCATAGCTATATCTCTACAATGTATGTATACATATGTATGTATACATGTATATAGATAGATAGATAGATGATAGATAATAGATAGATAGATAGATAGATGATAGATAGATAGATAGATAGATAGATAGAATCAGAGATTCTAACCTAGACCTTTTTGCTTCGTGCTACTTCATCAGCAAAAAAGACTATTCATACGGTGCAGCAAATGGAGCAGTATAGAATATGATGACAGCCTCATTGGTTGTCCTACTATCACACTGTTGCCCCCCCATACTTCCATATGGAGGCCTCCCAGAAGACAACCACGGCCCACTAAGCCCTCAGTGGGTAAAGAACACTGCATCAGCTGCTTAAATACTTCAAGCATCATTTTGTGTAGACCCCATTTTATTAATCATTAATATTACACGTTCCAAACTTGAACATTCAGCAGTCCTCCATAGGAAAATGTACATGCAGTTTACTTCTGGGCTCAGGTAGTCTGTTTAAGGAAGTTAAATAACTAATAGAAGTATACTTCCCTGAGGAGCTGAACAAGCCTTTGCACCCACATACTTTCCCTCTGATAAAAAGCCTTTAATGCTTAGAGAAATAGTATTTACTAACTGCTATGGTTTTCCCCTTTATAGTTAGAAAAAAATAGCT